GCCGAGGGCAGGGGGGGGGGGCAATGTCTGGCGTGGCGAAGGGGTGATCGGCAATGCTCGCTGCTTCAAGGAGACAGCGGGATGGCCGAGTGTGGGAGGCGTCTGGAAGCCACAAGGTGTCTCGCAGAGGCGTGCAGGGGGCATATGGAGGGATGTGCGTGGCAACTGTGCGCAGGCGTCCCCAGCAAAATGTGTGGCCGTCGGCGCAGCGACGGCTGGCTGAGGCACAGCCGCAGCGTGAGCCCTGCGGCCCCCCACCCCCGCTTCCCAGGCTTCCGCGGCGCCCCACGGCGCGCGCACGATCGCGTGCCGCACCTGCCGCAGCGAGGTGGTGACAAACGCGGAGGTGAAGAGCCGCAGCGCGTCGCCCGCGGCCACCGCCGCGTGGTCGTTTGCGAGGTTGGAGCGCAGCGCCTTCGGAAGGGGCGGTTGTGAGAGCGCAGTGCGGCAACTGATGTGACTCGCGTGCCTAAGGATTTGTCCGAGTGGATCGTTCGCCAGGTGTCATGTTCAGGACGGAAGGCGCAACGAGATGGCTGTACACTGCGGGCGAAGACGCTGCGACTCGTCAGTCGGGCGCAGCCCGCGAGCCGCCAGGGTCCGCCGCATGCGGCAGCAGCGGCGGCGGCCAGACCGCGCGCGCGCGCATGGGCCCGCGGCGGCCCCCACCTCCGACGCCTCGCCGCCGCTGATGAGCTCAGTCGCATATATGGAGGCGTACACCTGCAGCGCGGGCGTGGCGGCGCGCGGTGTCAGGGAAAATCGCGTCTGGTGCCAGGACTGGCGTGGCGCAATGCAGTGCACGGGCTTTGGAACGGACAGGAGAGGGGGGCGCTCCCGCCGTCGTTTGCGCCGCGCCTTTCCCGGCGGGACGCTCGACTGCTGCACACATGCTGGCAGCGTTTGGGGCTCGCTCCTGCCTGTCCTCGCACCAGCAACACTAAGTAGTACATCGAAGTTGATATGTCAGGGCGCGCGCGGGGCTCGACGAGATCAGTCAGGTCGGTGGCGCTGAGGGGGAACGGCGCCAGGGTCGCACAGGTGCGGCGCAGAAAGGGCGATTAGGGAGGGGCGGGGCATGTTTGTGCGCGGCTGTGGCCGCGACGCGCGTGCGCGAGGCACGGGTGTGGCGGTGACAGGGCTTTGGGGTGTGCGGCCGCGGCTGGGGGTGCGAGCGCGCCGGCGACTGGACGCGTGGGCTGCGGCAGTTCAAGAGTACTAAGCAATGCAACCGCATGCAACCGCCCGGCAGGCTGTGTGGGGCACCCTCTTACCTCACGGGTGGCTCTCGCAGCGTCGCGCAAGTGCTCGCTGCTGCCGCTGCATCCGCTGCCCGCTGGGCTGCCTCCTGCTGCCTCCGCAAGAGGGCGTCAGGTGATATCGAGGTGGCATCCTGAGCCTGCTGCAAAGGCCCGAGCAGGCTTTCCAGTGAGGAAAGCGACGTTTCCGGATTGGGCCGTTCTCCACCGATGCCACCCTGAACACGACACCGCTGGCGTATCGGCCGGCCCACTCGATGTCTGTATGCGAAATTGACGCTGCTTGCGGTGGGAACCGACCCAAGAGTTTGAAGCGATCTCATATCCGCAGCTCCGCGTGCGATAGGGGACTTAGCTTGCTGACATGATTGCAGCTCAAGCGCAGTAGTATACCGTACTGACGTGGGCGCGCATACCGTGAAACCAAACAGCAGGGAGCAGCATGCGGCCACACCGGCGGTGGCGATACGGTATGTGGAAGCATCTCCCGGCTGATGTGCCCACGCGCCTCGCAGTCAGGTGCAGCACGCGGGCCTTTCAAGAGATGATAGGGTTGATTTCAGACCAATGACTATGTACGTGCAGGGGGCATCAGCACAAGCGAGGCGTCAGTGGCCGGCATGCTGGGCACGCTGTGTCCCATCCTCACAGCACATCTCGACCCTGCACTGGCCAATGGCTGCAGCACAGCCAATGCTGTCCCACTCGATCCTGTTGATGAGGCTTGCCTCGAACTGTCAAACCTGAACGGACATTTCACTTGTGACGGGATGCTGCTGTCAGGTTGCTGCTCCCGAGGGTGGGACGTCACTGATCCCTGCTGCTGTCAGGTTGCTGCTCCCGAGGGTGGGACGTCACTGATCCCTCGTGACGCATGGGCCTTGCCGCAGCAAATTTACATGCTGCTGAGTCAACAGCAAAAGCAGCAGCAAATCTACCCCCTATTTATCTGGAGGGGGGAGCCCGCAGAAAGGGTCGAAAGCGCGCTGGTAGGGGGGGGGGAGGGTCGGGGTCTGTGAACTTCGCAACACACTCACACACACCCTCGTGTCCACGTGTTGACACAGTAGTTGTGGAAACTTCTGTCTGGTCGTCATGCGTGCTCATCAACCTTTCACCAAAGGCCTAAACCTGGCAAGCTCCGTGGGAGTCAGGAGTGCAGATGCACATGCGTGCATGCAGCTGTACGTATTTGCATGTGCGTCAATGCGTGGCAAAGATTGCAGACTCGCGCCGGGCCAGCCCCTTCGGCTTCTGTTGGATGCGACGACGCAAACTCCCCAGCATCGAGCGGCGCCTGAGCCCGAAGCCGCAACAGGCACCTTGGTTAGACAACATAGAACAGGGCCGCACGCCTGCATTCACAGCCCCAGGCCACACAGGGCCCCATAGCCCCATGGCCGCAGCAGCGCGGATTTGCAGGTTTGGATGGGAGCGGCCGGCCGGACCGGACGCGTGCTTGCCGGCAGCTGTGCTTGGGGCGTGCCCGACAGCGGCGGGGCGGAACGCGTGCAGCCTCGGCCCCGTCGGCACGCTGCCCAACAGGAATGAAGTCGAGTTGTTTGATAGTGACACGAGGCATGGCGGGTGTGCATCCCCAAAGCCCAGAGGCATGCACATCAATACTACAAAGCGGCACCACGCGCGGCGCAGCGCCGGACGAACGCGCGCGCCCAGGCGGTTGGGGCGACGCACACACGGCCGCCCGCTGGCGGGCGCGCACGCCTGGCGACCGGTGACGGGGCCAGCACCTGGTCTGTCATTCTGAGCGCGCTCACATGCGGGCCCTACGCTCGGGACTGTTGCCGGCGCCGCGTGGCAGGGGCCTGAGCGACCACCTCTAGGCGAAGGGGGGCGGCATCCGGGGGCGGCCACGCGCGGGTGCGCAGGGGCGCCCCCGCTGGGAGGCCCCAGGAAGGCCGGCCGCTAGGCGGTCGTTGCCGGCGCAGCACGCGTGTGCGGGTCTCCAGGGGCCGGGTGGGGCGACAGCAGTTGAAAAGAGAAGGAAGTCGCAATGAGGTCGGTGTGCGCAGCGCAGCGACCGCGGCCGTGCGAGCTGGGGAGGCTGCGCTCCACCGCTCTCAATGGTGCTCTCATATCGAGGGGCCGTCAGCAGGGATCCGATCAGCCGCGCGTGACGGGCCCCGCAACACAGCGGCGGGGGCGTCCGCTCGCCGCGCGCGGCTCTAAAGTCTGCTTACGCGCCAGCAGCAGCGGCGGCGGCGCGAGGTTGGCGGCGGCGGCGGCGAGGTGCGGCGCAGTTGCTGCGCGCACCGACATTCGAGCCCAGGCGGCGACCCGCCCTCGCGGGACGGCGCATGGGGGAGCGGGGTCGCCCCTGTCATTTGGACCCCTGGCGCCCGCTGCCGAGCACGCCGCTCAGCCCTGACAGCAGCCGTGACGTAAGGCTGCCCGACCCCCGCAGCAGCCGTGCCGCCTGGTCCGCCGCCGCCGTCGCGTCGTCGTCGCCGCCGGCGGCGTCGCCCGCCGCGTTGATGCGGCCGTACAGCGCGCGCTCGTGCCAGACGAGCAGCGAGAACGCGTAGCTGCCGCTGCCGACGTCCTTGCAGGTCAGCTGCAGCGGGGAGCGGTGCAGCAGCGGCGCCAGGTCCAGGTTCAAGAAGCCCTGCGGTTGCGGTTTGACGCAAACAGCGGCGGCGCGGCCGGGGGCGGCAGTGCAGCTGGTGAGCGGGCGCGGGGTCGTGGGCGTTAGAGGATCCAGAACTTGCACAGCATCAGGGCAGCCGAGACGCCCGATGAGGCAGACGGCTGGTGAGGCGGATGACTGGTGAGGCGGACATCTCATGATGCGCACAGGCCCCGCACAGAGCCAGCCAGCTCGAGAAACTGACCGTCTCCCAGGCTGGGCCGCGCGGGCCCCGCCCCACCCACCAGGTTGAGGCGGTATTTCCCAAAGTCCGCGTAGTGCTGCCAGAAGTGGAAGGTGTACACCAGGCCCGGGCTGAAAACTGCGCCCTCGATGTTGGCCGGCACGTCGCACCACTTGCGGCGCGCCTCGCTGCTGAGGGGGGCGCCCTTGGCGTCCTGAGGGGGCGGGGTTGGCGCGCGTGCGTGCGTGCGTGTGTGTGTGTGTGTGTGT